AATAAAAAGTATTGTTGTTATGGAAAAAAAAAAAAAAAAACAAACAAAGCGCAAAACTACAGATATAAACACATACACACAAATGCGACCAGGAGTACAAAGTATCTAATAATTAATATTAAGGTGCCTTTTCAAAACTACTTACATAGACATATGTGAAAATATATTAACCAGAAAAATTTTAAATCAGTTCATTTCAATGGCATATATCTTAAATCAACAACATAATAAAAATGGCTGTTTGTTTTATGAAGAATGTTTCTTTAAATGACTCTGCCCCTCCAATACATCGCATTAAAAACTGTCAGCCAGGCGTGGCTCACACCTGTAATCCCAGCAATTTGGGAGGCCTAGACAAGTGGATCACCTGAGGTCAGGAGTTTGAGACCAGCCTGACCAATATGGTGAAACCCCGTCTCTACTAAAAATACAAATATTAGCGGGGCATGGAGACGGGCACCTGTAATTCCCAGCTACTTAGAAGGCTGAGGCAGGAGAACTACTTGAACCTGGGAGGCAGACGTTGCAGTGAGCCGAGATCACGTCACTGCACTCCAGCCTGGGCAACAGAGCGAGACTCCATCTCAAAAAAAAAAAAAAAAAACTGTCAAAAGATACCTTCTCTTGAAATGTGGCTAATTATATCACTCTCCTGCTCAAAGTCCTCTCTCACTGCCTTGAAGATAATTTTCACATTTCTTAGCCTAGAATCTCTCTCCAAACCTGTTTCAAGCAAAATAAACCACTCCCCATTCCCTACATACATCTTTGACTTAACACTGACTTACACAGGTCTCTGCCTAAAAAATCATTCCTCCATTCAAAGCTTGCCAATATTTTTTAAAGCCAGCTAAATACCTCCTTCTTCATGAAGGTTTCCCCGACTCCCTGTCTGAACTCCCATAAGTGCACCTCTTAGGGGACTTACTGCTTTCTCATACGAATTATTATTAGTTACCCCCCAACACGAGAACAAGCTACTTATAGACAGGTTCTGTGTTTACCTTTTTACTGCCCATAACTGATCACAATAGTAACTGGAAGTTTAAATAACTGAAACCGAAACTATTACTCCAGGAAAAGTCTCCAATCAGGTACCATGGGAAGGAAGACAGAGGTAACTGCAGTGTATCACGCATGTGAACATCTACCAGTGGTCTTTAAAACCCAATGTCACACTACTGTCATCTCTACATGCTAAAATATGTCTAATTTCACTTGTATTTTCTTTTGGCCAGGATGCTTAACACTGGTTTAAACTGCCTACAACACAGCTCCCAAGTGTAATAGCATTTGCAAATATTGATCCTATGCTCACTACTGTAGTGAATAGAAAGTCCTTTGTCTACAGAACTCTAACACAGCTATAAGCAAGAACTCTCAAAGAGCAAATCTAAGATTAAGCAAATCCAAGAGGCAATCTGAATTATAGTTCATAATTTTAAAATCAAGTATAAAACCTTCTCTGAATCTGAAATCACAAAATTTTGATAAAGAGAAATGGGGAAAAGTATCTGGGATGTAAAGCAAGTTTTTAGACATATGATGCTGAGAATCATCTGGCTAAATATCACTAAAGTATATATTTCTACTCATAAATCCTTACTGTGTAGAACAAAAAAAAAACAGGAAGAGAAAAACCTCTGGGAAGCACAAATAGCTGTGGAACTATTCTTATTTTTTTAATCTACTATGTCTAACAAGACTCGTGAACTTATTTCCAAGTCCATAGTGAACTATGTGCAAAATATGTGGTGAGAGGCTGCCCACACATGCTGAAAGCGGAGAAAAGTAAAAGTTGCCAGCCTAACGGTAGAGTAAGACAGAGGGAAAAAATTTGAAGAGTAAACTCAAGAGCTCAAAAAGCAGAGCAGCCTGAGAGTAAAGGGGGCAAAAGTTCCTACAAAGCTGGCGGGGTCTTCATGGCTTCACCATGTTACAGCACAACACAATAATTAATCTTCACTATGTGAAATCTTAGTTATCAAGTAAATTATGTTTCTTAGTTTGTTAGAGAAGTTGTGACAGCATTTAGAAAGGCATTATCCAAAAGCTGTGCTCTTTAGAGATAACCCTTAATTCCTTAGAAAATTAAATTGTGTGGAATATTCCATTTCTTTTACACACAGAATGAAGATTTTACTCCTTTATGCCAAATCATTTTGTATCTTCTTGATTAAAATGACTATCAATATTTGTGATTACGAGCTTGGACTTAACAACTCATACAAACAATAGCAGCACTAAGCAACACAGCAACTCCAGCACTTCCTTACACTTCTTTAAAAGTAACAAGTTCCTAGCACTGAAAGCACTTGCCTTTTTTTAGGTTCTTAAATCTCAGGCACTAAATATAAAGTAAATTTCAAGAAAATTAATTTAACTCCAGACACTCAAAAGTTAATTCTGAGTGCTAACTTTGGTTTTCTCTTCTTCTAATTTTTAGTCATCTAATTCCTGGTAACACTAAAAATAAGGATATAAGATTTCTCATTATCAAAATCATCCTGTCATCACTACTCCTATCAAGGATGGTAATAATGTGATTCTTCTGAATTGATATAATTATCAAAGAACATCTCAGAAAACTTAGGCAGGCTAACAGAGATTAAAGTTATCACAGCTACAAAATGACAGCAGAAATTGGTCTGATTTCTAGTTAAGTATGCATCTACCATTTATCAAAAAGTTCACAATCCAAATGAAAATTTAAACGAAGTGCATTATCTTAACTTGTTATATAAAAAGACTGTTTCACCATCTTTGATACAAAGTGATGTGAATGGGGCTTGTGGAAGCCTGCATGATGGTGGATTTGCACTCACTCGTCCATGCTCAACTGACCTCGATTGTGAGCAAATCTGAAAGACCAGCAACAACCATAGAAAAACGGTGGAACTAACCGGCTCTAACAACACGCTGGCAGCAGCACTACCCATTCCAACGGGCAAAATCCACCACAAACTACTAAGCGCAGTTTGGAATCCCAATTAGGCACTTAAAAAAAAAAGCACAAAACCTGCAGTGGGTAGGGCCTATTCATTTAGGCATCCAACAGCCTTCCAGCTTTTCAAAGACATTGACAGGATTATTCCTGAATTTGTCAAACATAACAAAGTATTCTGAATGAATATTCTCTAATAATTGCATATAACTATAAACAGAAAAATGACAGGCCAGAAAAACACCATTCTAAGTCTTAACAAACCTTTCCTAAAAAATTAGCCAAATAAAAGTTCAAAGGTTTTTTCTTGACTAGAGACATTTAAAAGTGTTATTTTGGGACGTTACCTGTAAAAAAAAAAAAAAAAAAAAAAAAAAAAAAAAAAAAAAAAAAAACAACATTAGTTTGAACCTGACAGATTATAATAAATTTCAAAAAATTTGAAGTGGAAGTCTACATTAAATGACACAGGAATTTAAAGTCAGAGTACATAGGATACACAAGATTTACATCAGTATTCATCTTAATTATGATCAAGCAGCCCAAAGTTAGAATTTCAAAGTTCCCAAAAATCGATAGTTAAAATGGTTTTCTCCAAATTCTTTTGCAAGATGAAGTCTTCATAAAAAAAAAAAAAAAAAAAACCAGAAAAAGTACAAACTACAGAACCTGCCTGCATTATCTACAGTTAACCTAAAGCTCTCTAAGCAGACACATAACCAGGAAAATCAATATACCATGGTATTAGGTACACCTTGCATTCATATATATACTACAATGCATTCTTCATGTTGTTACTGATTTATCTTCCAACTCCCTGAAGAAAGCTTCGGAGTACAGAGAACTTGGCCTTTAGCAATCCATCACCAATCCAATTCTTAGGGGAAAAGAGTCCAGAAGAGACAAAGGAGGCAGGGAACCCACCAAACAAAAGGAAAAGGCGGCGAAGGTCAGGTGCGAAAGCATTTGATAGACAAGTTTTGAAAAAACTCAATTCCAATTCTACAGATGCTCGGTAAGTGGGAAGGGAGGGTGGCTAAAAAGATTCAATAATACTTCTTATTAGCAGGGGGGAGAAAGGATTAAAAGCCTAATTTCTGCCTTTTCTCCAAAAATGTAAGTTAATCAAGCCCTAGCAGTTCCGAAGCAGTGATTATCCAAGACTTGTCAGGAAACCCCGTGCTCGGCTTTGGCAGCCAGACAGACCCGGGGAAGCGGCCGAGGCGGAATAGGAAATGCAACCGCGAGGCCTGCACCGTCCCCTCCGCCTCGGGTGCTAGTTTCCAACCCGGAGAGGTCACTGGCCCAAAGTGGGGAGCGGGAGCCTCGGCCCGGGCCGCCTTCTCCCTCCACTCCGCTTCCGCAAGGGGGAAGCGCAGCGGCCGGGCTCCGCCGTTACCCCGCCCGGAGCCTCGCGGCCCGCATCTCCATTTCCCCGCCTGCCCCTCACACTGGGAGTCGCCCGATCGTCCCGGGACGCGGGGCGCCCCCAAACCCGCCCGTGCCCCCAGCCACGACTCCCGTCCCGAAAACCACGGCTGACTGCAGAACGAAACCCCCAGGAGCTGCGACCCGCGGGCCGTGCAGGAGCCGGGGATGCGCCCGCCCCGGCTGCTCAACCCCGGCCCCTCAGCCCCGGCGCCCACCGTCAGGCCAGTGCCCAGCACGATCACGTCGTACTCCTCATTCATGGCGGGGCAGTGGCGGACGCAGAACCAGAGAAAGGAAAAGGCGCAGGGGCTCGGTGACCACCCTACGAGGCTGGGAGGCGCTCTCGGGCGCGAAGGAAACGGGAAGAGAGGAGAGGAAAATGGAGCTGGCGACAAGGCGAGACCTGCCGCCACCTCAGACGGGAAGCGAAGAACCGGGCGGGGAGAAAAGGGGAGGGGGCAGGGAGGGGAGGGCGGTGACTGAACCTCCGCAGCCGGGGCGGGGCCTGCAGGCGCCGGGAGGGCCGCCAATCAGGCGCTTCCGGCACTCTAATTGGTTTTGTCCCCGTCACTCGCCCAACTTTTTTTCTTCCCCGCCTCTCGCGAGAGGAAAAGGGCGGGGCGTCGCCATTTTGGCTTCCGGTTCCCTTTGCGGTTTCTGCCACCGGGGTCTGGGAGGCGGCGCGTGGACCGGGGTGGAGGCGCACGGGACCGCGGGAGGGGAGTACTGCCGGCCACCACGGTTCTGACTCCCGCCGTCGGGGCGGGAGCTCGCTCGGTCCAAGGTCCCAGAGCCGGACCGCCGTCCTTGGACTTTGAGCGGGTGCGTGCGGCGGCCACGTGGGCGAGGAACGTGGGTCCGGCCGCCTCTCGCGGGTAGCGGCCTTGGTTCCTCCCGCGGGGCTGGGCTCGCCGGGGCCCGGAGCCCGCCGGGAAGAGTTCGGAAATCACACGTGTCCTGTTTCCCGCTCTGTGCCTTCCCTGTTTGGTGCGTTGCCGGTGGGCGCTTTAGGAAAGTGGTAGGAGGAAAAGCGGCTTCTTTTGCTAAAAGGAACCCTTAACGGAGATGAAAGTGAAGGCCAGGTTTCATTGGGAAGCCGATCCGCACTTACCCAGGGCTATAACTTAAAGCCACTGTAAACGTGGTAGCTGATCCTTGGATGCAAAGGTTTAGGCCCTAAGCTTAGAAACTGTACCTTGCTTGCCTTTTAACCCCCTCCTCTTTTTCTAGAATTCTCTTAGGAATCTCTAACTTCATTGAGGACACGGGTGTAAGCAGAAGCTGTGTTCTCAGCTCCAAGAGGCAAATCCCACGAAAGCCTAGGCAGGTGAATTTCCTAAAGGCGATGACAGTTGGAAAACCTGTGTTTTCAGCACGTGATAAATCTGCATAGTCAGCAGACAATGAAGATTTGGCATTCAAGAACTACTCAAATACTTCTCGGTAATAGCTATCATGAGCCTGCCTTGATAGACCGAACTTGCTCATATTTAAATCATCAAGATTGAGGAGAGAATGTAACAACTTTTAAAAATGTTTCTTAACCCGTAAATACTTGGAGAAGATGTGTTATATTGGACCATGGACCTTTTGCAAGGGGAGGGGAGAAGAAAGCAAAAGTAAAGTTTAAATTTATATTCAACCTTAATTTGATTGTGTATATTTGTCACCAAATAAATTAGTGCAAAGTTGACCATACAACTGATTATGCAACAGTGAGTGTAACTGACTTTTCTTTTGGCTAAGCTAATGATGACTAAAGAAAGTCCTTCTGTTGCTCTGTCTTCAAGTCATCAGGGGGTCATACTATACACTACCTGTATTTTTGGACCAATATGAAATACCTTTTTTTTTTTTTTTCCCCCTGAGACGATCTCGCCCTGTCGTCCAGGCTGGAGTGCAGCAGTGCAATCATGCCTCACTGCAGCCTTGATCTCCTGGGCTGAAGCCATCCTCCCACCTCAGTCTCCCGAGTAGCAGGGACAAGAGGTACAGGCCACCACACCTGCCTACTGACCCTTTTTTTTTTTAATTAGCAATAACAATAAAGAGCTTTTATCACAATTGCCATCAGCCTCTGACTGTTGAAGAGAAATTTAAGGATGTCAACTGAATTATGTTAACCATATTTCAGGTGAAGACTGTTTCATCAATACTCAGAGTTCTGAGAAACTTAAAGACACTGAGATAAGGGAAGTCAATTTAAGGCTAATAAGGATCCCTTCCTTACTTAACACTGAAGTTCATTTTAGTTGGCAGTATAGAACCTATGGCCCAACAGAAGGACAACAATCAAACCTGGACTGAGCCTTAACGGACTGAGTGCATCTAAAATGCTGTACTTGGGCCACACACAGTGGTTCACGCCTGTAATCCCAACACTTCGGGAGGCTGAGATGGGAGGATCACTTGGGGCCAGGAGTTCAAAACCAACCTGTGGTGTACAGCGTAGGTAACAAACTGAGACACCGTCCCTATAAATTAGCTGGAGGTTGGGCACGATGGCTCACGCCTGTAATCCCAGCACTTTGGGAGGCCGAGGCAGGCGGATCACAAGGTCAGGAGTTTGAAGTTTGAGACCAGCCTGGCCAATATGGTGAAACCCCATCTCTACTGAAAATACAAAAATTAGCTGGTCGTGGTGGCACGTGCCTGTAGTCCCAGCTATTCGGGAAGCTGAGGCAGAAGAATTGCTTGAACCAGGGAAACAGAGGCTGCAGTGAGCCAAGATCCCGCCACGCCACTCAACGCCTGAGCAACAGAGTGAGACTCCGTCTCAAAAAAAAAAAAGGGGCAGTCTGGGCGCGGTGGCTCACGCTTGTAATCCCAGCACTTTGGGAGGCTGAGGCAGGTGAATCACAAGGTCAGGAGTTCAAGACCAACCTGTCGAAGATGAAACCCTGTCTCTACTAAAACTACAAAAATTAGTCGGGAGTGGTGTCAGGCGTCTGTAATCCCAGCTACTCGGGAGTCTGAGGCAGAGAATTGCTTGAACCCAGGAGGCAGAGGTTGCAGTGAGCCAAGATGGTGCCACTGCACTCCAACTTGGGTGACAAAGCGAGACTCTGTCTCAAAAAAAAAAAAAAAAGCTGGGCATGGTGGCAGGAGCCTGCAGTCCTAGCTACTCAGGAGGCTGACCTGGGAGGATCCCTTGAGCCCAGGAAGGTCAAGGCTACAGTCAACCATGATGATGCGACTGCCCTCCAGCCTGGGCAACAGAGCAAAACCCTGTCTCAGAAAAAGAAAATTCTGTGCTTTTTATTGGATCTTCCACCCCACCCATTCCAGTTGCAAGGGGACTTGTAGACGACAAATACTGCTTAAGGTGAAGAGACTTGAAAGCCACTAATTGGTTCAGTGGATCTCATGCCACAGAAGGTAGTTCCTGCTAGAGTGAAACCTTAGGTTTAGGGGAAGTAGGTTGGTTGGTGAAGATAAGTGGAAAACATCAATATTTTTAATTTTATTTTTTGGTGCCAAAACCCAAGATCAAACCAGGACACCATCAATCTTTAAAATATTTCAAATCTTAAAATTAGCCAGGTGTGGCGGCACATTCCTGTAGTCCCAGCTACTCAGGAGACTGAGGCGGGAGAATCACTGGAACCCGGGAGACTGAGGTTGCAGTGAGCCAAGACCGCACCACTGCCCTCCAGACTGGGTGACAGAGCCAGACTCTGTCTCAAAAAAATAAAATATTTCAAATCTTTATGCAAAGCAGGAATCCATGGAGTGTTTTATACTTGGGTACATGGGAATAATTGTTTGCTGATCTGTTTTTACTAATCATCCATCTGCACTTTGAAAAGGAGAGATTTAATCTAAGGAAAGAAAATGAGAGCAAACTTCAGCCCAGACCATCTTTCTGTCTCCTGGATCACCGTGGCAGTTTCTCAACAGGTTTTTTTTTCCTCTTCTCCTATCTGTTCTGTCCATTTTCTTCTCAAAACACTCATCAGATCACGTTCAGACTTCTGTATATCTTTTATACTTAGAATATATTGTAGATCGTAGCCGGGCATGGTGGCTCACGCCTGTAATCCCAGCACTTTAGGAGGCTGAGGCAGATCACCTGAGGTCAGGAGTTTGAGACCAGCCTGACCAATATGGTGAAACCCCGTCTCTACTAAAAATACAAAAATTAGCCTGGTATGGTGGTACACATCTGTAATTCTAGCTACTCAGGAGCTGAAGCAGGAGAATGCTGGAACCTGGGAGGCGGAGGTTGCAGTGAGCCAAGATGGCGCCACTGCACTCCAGCCTGGGGGACAGAGTAAGACTCCATCTCAAAAAAAAAAAAAAAAAAGGGGGATACATTGCAAATCCTTAAATACGACCTAATACCTTAATCTAGCCTCTGTATGTCTCTCCAACTCTATTTTGTAGTGCTCCTTGGCTCCATGATCATTAAACCCCAAACATGCTTGTGTTTCGGGTTTCGGTTCCTAGAATCTAGTCAAGCCTTTAACCACCCGAGGGCCTTTGTACTCTTGCTTCCATGGCTACCACTCCTCACTTCCCCCTGCACCTCTTCATACAGCTAACTTTTCCCACTTCCTTAGGTTTCAGCTTTCCCCTCAACCATCATTCTCTGTCAGTACCCTGCTTTTTTCTCACTGCTTTTATTAGAGGGGTAATTATTTTCTTCACTTGTTCTTTGCTTGCCAAATTGGATGTAAACTCCATAGGGGCAGGGATATTAAGCCTGGACACCCAGTAAAGGGCTGAGCAAGTAGTGGAGGATGAGTAAATATTTGACAAATGAATAGGGGGCTTGGAAGTTGAGCCCCAGATCAACAAGGACTGAATGTAATGATATTGGTACTAGTTCCCTTTTTTTTTTTTTTTTTTTTTTTTAAAAAACAGGGTCTCACTCTGTTGCCCAGGCCAGAGTGCAGTGGTACAGCCATAGCTCTGTGCAGCCTCAGCCTCCCAGGCTGAAGTGATCCTCCCTCAGCCTCCTGAGTAACTAGGAGTACAGGCATGTGACCACCATGCTCAGCTAATTTGTGTATTTTTGGTAGAGATGGAGTGTCACCTTGTTGACCAGACTAGTCTCGAACTCCTGGGCTCAAGCAGTCTGCCCACCACAACCTCCGTAAGTGCTGTGGTTACTAGTGTCAGCCACCGCCAGGCCCCAGTTCCTCCTGATACTTTGGAGAAATACAACTTTTCTTCCAGGAAGAGATGTTAAAACTAATATTTTAAAGAGTCTTAGAGATAGGTATCTATAAAACATAAACCTGTGTAAAACCTGGATAGCTAATGCTGTAGAGGGAACGTAATGGGATCTCTAGAAAGGAATTTTAATTAAGTTCCAAAAGTCTGTATTTCCTAGCTTATGATCATTCACTCAGAACCATCCCCTACAAACTGTTTGTCTGCTCCCAGTCTTTATTTTATTTATTTATTTATTTATTTATTTTTGAGACAGAATTTTGCTCTCGTCGCCCAGGCTGGAGTACAATGGCAGGATCATGGCTCACTGCAACCCCCGCCTGCCGGCTTCAAGTGATTCTCCTGCCTCAGCCTCCCGAGTAGCTGAGATTACAGGTGCCAACTACCACAGCCAGCTAATTTTTATATTTTTAGTAGAGACTGAGTTTCACCATGTTGGCCAGGCTGGTCTTGAACTCCTGGCCTCAAGTGATCCGCCCACCTCAGCCTCCCAAATTGCTGGGATTACAAGCATGAGCACAGCACCCAGCCCTACTCCCAGTCTTTATTTCTGCTCAAACCAGAATTCTAGATGCCATCCTTGGTTCTGCCATCTTTATCTCCTTCCACATCTATTCTGGTTTTCTATTACGGTGTACAAACCACCCCAAAATTTAGTGGCTTAAGTGGAAAAAAAAAAAAAACTAGCAACTTAAAAAAAACAACGTATTATTATCTCTTATGGATCAGATGGGTTACCCAGGTGATAATTGCCTGGGCTTTCAGACAGCTTCAGTTAGTGGCTGGGCTGCAGTCATTTGAAGGTTTTACTGGACTGGACATCCAAGATGGCACAACCACGTGGCCAACAGCTGAGGCTGGCCATCGGTGGGAGCTCGGGGCCGTCTACCAGAGCAGCTATGTGTGGCCTCTGTTTGGCTTGCACTTCTCAGAGTGGTGGTGCTAAAAGAAACAAGAAGTGGAAGTAACTGTCTCTTAAGGCCTGGACCGAGAAACTGGCCCAGAGTCACTTGTCTTGTTCTGTTTGTCAGTGCAATCACAGAGCACACCGAAATTCAGATGGAAGAACTGTGGAGCCTGTCTCTGTTGGAAGAGTATTAATAAATTGGTAGCCATCTTTATTATTATTACTATTATTATTATTATTTGAGATGGAGTCTTGCTCTGTTGCCCAGGCTGGAGTGCAGTGGCACAATCTCGGCTCACTGCAACCTCCTTCTCCCAAGTTCAGGCAATTCTCGTGCCTCAGCCTCCCGAATAGCTGGGATTACGGGCACACGCCACCACACCCAGCTAATGTTTGTATTTTTAGTAGATATGGGGTTTCACCGTGTTAGCCAGGCTGGTCTCAAACTCCTAACCTCAAGTGATCCACCAGCCACAGCCTCCCAAAGTGGTGAGATTCCAGGCGTGAGCCACTGCGGCCAGTGGTAACCATATTTAATCTGCCACAGTACCCCATTAAGTTTTGGTCATTCCACCTCATAAAAATCCTTCCAGTCCCTTCTCTTCAACCTCACTGCCACAACCTGAGT